TGTATTTCTTCACAACAGTTGTGTGTCAAGTAGGCGTGATGCAGCTATTCATTTATTTTTTATTTGCATAACAGCCCGGTAAAAGTGACGAACCGTAATAAGGTGGGAGGAGGGGGGTACAGAAACTCCGTAGACCAAATTCCAAACTCCGTGCTCCTGGGTTCTGGGAAGGGGAGATTTGAAGCTTTCGTGACTGCAAGGATTCACACTCTTAGGTTTTTTTTCCGGTCAAGTCACGTAGGTAAAAATAAAAGAATAATAAATGAAAATAAATCAATTAAATCACCATTTTGATTTAATTGATTTAGTTTCTTTTTTTATTTTGTATTTTTACCTACGTGACTTTACCGAAAAAACCTAAGAGTATGCCCCACTCATGTAGGGGGACTGCGGGCAGGAGCTGTAGGTTCTTATATGGGGAAGTGAAGGCAAGGGAAGAGGAACAAAAGTATGGGTTGGCTATTAAATGTATTAGACTCGATTCTTCCACTCCCTGATATGCACAAAATCACGCGGGTGAGCATCTTTGAACAATTTTACATCTTGGCAAATGGAGCGAACTAAACTATACACACCACTTAAAAATCGCCCCAAGGATCCAGAGAAAAACTCGTGCTTTTATTTTAGTGCATTGAAGAAGGTAGAGTCTTTTGCAAATCGGTTTGATGAAACATTAAGTACCAGTGTGTTTTTTTGCAATGTTGTCACGAGCATTCTTTTCCTTTTCTAGATTTGAAGTTTTCGTGACTGCAAGGATTCATACTCTTTGGTTTTTTCAGGAAAGTCACATAGGTAAAACATTTAAATTAATTAAATCACGACGTTTCAGGCACAATACGAGCAACCATGTAGGACCTTTTCCAGGGCTACTGAAAGGGCCCTGTCATGTTCCCGATACTTGATAAACTTATGACTTTACCCAAAGAACCAAAGAATACGAATTCTTTGCAGTCACGAAAGTTAAGTCAAAATTTTAACATATTACTATGGTGGAAGGACAGGGAAAATAAACCCATCTGCATGTGCATAAATGCAACTTGCTAAAAAACACAATTGCAGTTATTATTTACCCAGGAAAGCCTCAGGTTTTTGCAGTGGGAGGGTGGGGAAGACTACGTAATCCCAATTAAATAATTATCAGACCATTTCTTAGAATTGGGTTGTTTGCCCAACGCTACTGTCATCCCATAGCTAAAACGTTGTTGGATACAAAGTGCAGTGTGCTAACCACTACACGATGTACCTGCCCCCAAAATTCGATATTTTTTGTGCCTCTCTACAGGTCTGCCTCACTCCATCTGTGTCTCTCAATGTCTCAATCTACTTTTCCATCTGTCTCCCGTGTGTGTCGCTGTGTTTTTCTCTCTACAATCTGTTCAGAGCATTTGGCTGCGAGACATTTTTTACGTGATAAGCCACGTCGTTGATCTATCATTTGTGGCCAGGTCACTTCTGAAAAACACATTCCTGCGGAGGGAGCTGGTAGGAACGTTGGGTTGCTCGGTCAACGGCGGCGTGGTGTATTCCGCAAATATGCCCGACTGAGGGTGGGCACAAGCCGGCGTGAGTAGGTTAAACGTTGAGTTTTATAAGGGCACCACGGGGTGACCAGCTCCTCCCCACCCAGCCCCACCCTCCCACCCAGCCCCTCCCCACCCAGCCCCTCCCCTCCCATTTTTGAATGCACGACGGACACAATAATCCCCTGTGGGCTGGTGTAACCTGGCGGTTCCTACCAGTAATAGCTATATAGCTCAGTAGGCCTTACCTGGTAAAGTAAAACAAAGTTTCGTAGTTTTAAATGGCTTGCCGTTGAGGGCCTGTCCGCTCTTCCTGCCCATGTGCACAGGGCCCCACAGTGTTGAGATGTCACTTGTCAATGTGGTAGAGTCAGGGGTGGAGGGGTGGGGTATTCTCCCGTGAGCCTGGTACAGTGCGTGCTGGGCCCCAGACAACTCCGCTCTAAACAGCAAGGGTCCTTCTTACCTGCTGAAGAGCCCTATCCAAGCCTTGCAAGATAACTCAGACAACAGTTGTGCTTTCTGCCTTCCCCACTCGCTTTCCTCCCCTCCCTCCCCGCCCATCTCCGAGTAATAGTGCACAGTCATCCCACCTCAACAGAAAGCGCAATTTAAACCCAAATGGCAGTAGTAAATGCACAAGACACCACCCCAGGATAAGGCGTGCCAAAACGAGCATCTATCACATTCACGCCTTCATTTTAACTACCGTACATGGCCAATGACACGTTACACCTATCTTACAAGGTACACTTGTAATGATTGTAAATACCTAAGTGCTAAAGTTGTTATCGTTTGCCAAAGCTATGACATTTCCACATTTGGGCTGTGGCATGAGCGTCACGATATCCCAGGATTTTGAAATCTACAACAGGGTCCTTTAGAGTCTACAGAAAGCAATTCCCTCTGGATAGATGGTATTAATGACCAGACAACATTCATAGACTATGGCAAGAATCGAAATAATTTAAGGAACTTGTGTAGCGACCTACGGATTAAATGCAGAGCAGAAATAAAAACGAATACTATTGTTTTTTATTTTACCAGGCAAGGCCCACCGAGTTATATAGGAAGCGACCTGGTCACAAATGACAGCTCAACGAGGTGATTAAAACATGTGGGAATGTACAGCAGCCAAATACTCTAAAGCACATGTTCGTATAAGTGGAGAGGGAAAAAAATCAGGGGACCCGGGGAAAAAGCCACACGACCACAGGAAGAACATGAAAACTCCAAATACACAGGCGTCAGGGTTGAACCCACAACCTCCTGTATACCAGGCGAGGTAGTTAACATCTCGCAAACCTGGCGCCCCATTAAAGTATTGTAATTTTATTATAGTATTGCTGTTCCAAAGGATCTCTGAAGCACAATTGTATTTTAACGTGCAATAAAGAGAAGTGCCGTCTCATTTTAACAGAGCAGTTCGGTTCCAACATCGCAGTCTTTCAAACAACTGGGATCTCATTCAGACACCAGAATCAGACACCTCAATGCAAACTGGAGTCTTAGGCAAACACTGTAAACCCATTTCAACACACTGGGGTCTCGGAAACAGCAGTCTCATTGTTCAATCGCTGAAGTTTTGTTGAAACACGGGTTTAACAATCGCTTAGGTCACATTTACTGTCAAGGCAAGCGGTTACTGCATAAGTGTTGACAGTGTTGTCACGTACACCGTTATGTAAGAAGTCAAACCTACCCCCTAAAAGCCTTTACACGTGTGCCTTGCGACCCCCCCCCCCCTCCATTCTTGGTGGTTTACATCCAAGCCTGGCTCTGCTCTTTAGGCTGGTCACGTGGACTTTTCTCCAGGTCCTGTTTTCCCCTCCAAATCTTGCAACATGCGTTTAGTGTTTGGCCGCTATAAATTTCCACGCGATAAGCCACTTCGTCGATCTGTCATTCGTGTGTCTTTTCCTGGTACAATAAAAGCTTAGTTTGTAGTTTTCACTTCGAAGAATTTTACTTCAGGCTAAAAGGAGACATCAACGACTCCACACACTTCCCCCCCCCCCCCCAGCAAGACATGTGGCATTTGATTCAGGTCACCATTCCTTGCCACGCCGAACGTGAATCACCCGATCAAGACAGCTAATATTAGCCTGGTCAATCCTGGGCCCCTCCCATCCTTCAGCTCACTCTGACAGGTGTGGTGATGATTTCATATGGTCATTGAAGTGCAGATATTGGAGGTTCAGTTATGTGTGATTTAGACATTTTTATTGCTTTGCAAGTGGGGGAAATTGCAGATACCCACTCGGACACTTCAAATTTATGTTTTAAGCAATTCGGCGCTACCTACTCCATGGTTTGGCGTTCGTAGCCACAGTAAAACACGAAGACGTTTTTTTTCCTGTGCATTTAGTATCCGCATCTCTACTGTTTTGTAAGGATCCAGTTAAACACTTTTTTTTCCGTGTACGATTAAAGCGAGGCAATGTTATGGTGGCGTGGTCAAGTATGGCCATACTCACTTGACCGGCGAAATTCACTTAAAGGGCATGGAGTTTGAAGAAAAGTTCAACATGGGAATGATTAGACAGAGTTGGCATATTTCGTGATTTGCTTAAACCAAGGGTAGGTAGCCTAAGAGATTAATCTCTAACGTTATACGAATTATATTATTGGTTCTTTCGGTAAAGGTACGTCGAAGGGAAATAATAAAATCATAAATAAAAATAAATAAAGTTTAATTTGTATTATTTCCCAATCAAATTTTATTGATTTATTTTTATTATTTCCCTTCTACGTGACTTTACCGAAAGAACCAAGAATATGAATCCCTGCAGTCACGAAAAACTTTAAATCAAATCATTTTCCTATCAGGTCCGCGACACCAATAAAATCTGGCAGCTAAAAATAACTTTATAAAATTTCCGTGTAGTATATCGATCATTCGAAATTTGCATATTTCTCTCCTCGTGGCCGCGTGGACTTCCATCAGGGTCATCGGGGGTTTTTTTTCCCCCCCTCCACATTTTAGAAGCATGCGTTTTATAGAGTAATTGGCTGCTATACATTGCCACACGACAAGCTTCTGAAAAAAAATATGAGCTGGTGAAAAATAAAAGTTAATAGTTTAGAGATTCGAAACTGTCATGGCCCACGAAATAAACCTCCACCAACCCAACCATCTGCACCTGTGTGGCAAGGCCCCTCGTCCGTGGATAATATGTTCTCACCAATCAACATCGAACCCGCGGCTATAAATTACTTATCAATACTTTAATTGCAAAAATTGCAAGCGGACAGGGGAAACACCCCGATCGATTCGCGAAACGGCGCCGCAATGCGGCGTGCATGGCTGACTGTGTGAGTGGAGTAGACACAGACTTTAAACACCCAACAACAAGGCTTCGCCTATCGCTCAACAACCACACACGCTCAACAACTCGAGGGCGACTCACAGAGACAGACACACATGACACCCAACAAAGAGAAAGACACACGGTGTTGTTGGGAGGAGGGTTGCCTTGCCTTGTTATTCAGCTTCGTGACACCCATGGCGACAGCGGAGCGAGACGAGAGGAAGTGACGCACGGGCAGGAGAGGTGATGGGGGGGGGTGGGTCGACCGGACACTGAGATGAGCGAATGGAGGAGGAGGCGGCAGCGGGGAAGAGACGGCGCGCGCGGTATTTATAGCGGAGCGCTGTGTGGGTGGGAGGGAGAGGGCGACGCCCATAACCACGCCCCCTTCACCCAACACCCAATCACAACACGTCTCCTACCACTCACGCCACGCCCCCTTCACCCACCACCCAATCATACCACGCCTCCTACCACACACACACACCACGCCCCCTTCACCCAATCACAACACGTCTCCTACCACTCATACCACGCCCCCTTCACCCATCACCCAATCACAATTCGCCTCCTACTACACACACCACGCCCCCTTCACCCATCACCCAATCACAACACGCCTCCTACTACACACGCCACGCCCCCTTCACCCACCACCCAATCACACCACGCCTCCTACCACTGACGCCACGCCCCCTTAACACACACCATGCCCCGCCCCGTCCAGCACCACCCCACAAAAAGACAAAGACAAAGCCAAAGTTGACCCATACGTTGCGCAAACCACTTGCCATCGTTTTTGTGTCTGTTTAGTTTTTACGTCCTTTCCGAGCACCACCGATTAGCAGGGTTGCCTACGTTGCGGTGCGAAAGAAGCTCAACATACATAGAACGTTAACCGAAGGTTGTGCCAACAAAATGTTATGATAATTGGTTTTTTACCCTTTTATCTGGCAACAAAACTGACACCTTTTTTTACAAGGAGTCATGTTTGCATAGATCACAATACCTGCAGGCATAATGCAAACAAAAAACATAACTCTGATAATGTATGCACTGTCCTTGAAGTTGATTGGTCCACACCCGAGACAGCTTTCCTTAGAGCCTAGTCTCACATGGTGTTGGACCAGATGACGCCAAAAGGCGTACAACTTAAAGACAATGTACCATCAGAGTGTCAGTTTTGATGGCAGATAAAAGGGTAAAAAACCAATGATCATATTTTGTTACTGGCAAAGGAGGTTCCAATGGTGTAAATGCTTGCCCCGTGCTCTCATACTCTGATGGCGCATTGTCTTTGAGTTGTGCGCCTTTTGGCGTCATCTGGTCCAACACCATGTGAGACTAGGCTCTAAGGAAAGCTGTCTCTGGTGTGGACCAATCAACTTCAAGGACAGTGCATACATTATCAGAGTTATGTTTTTTGTTTGCATTATGCCTGCAGGTATTGTGATCTATGCAAACATGACTCCTTGTAAAAAAAGGTGTCAGTTTTGTTGCCAGATAATAGGGTAAAAAAACAATTTTCATATTTTTTCTTTTGGCAAATGAGGTTACAATGGTATAACCACATGTTAGTTGGCCCAAAATTTCGCAAACCGCATATGAAAACCTTGAAAATGTGTACTGGGTTATTCGTAGGCCTATTAAATCGGGATAATCGCAGATGATAGGAACAATATATGGCTGGGGATAATAGTTTTTTTTTTCAAAGATATGTTGAGACAGTGCGGCTGCAAAGACAGTGCGTGGACTAGCGGTCACGAGGGGAAATTACAGAGGTGGACATTAACAAAAAGCGAGTTATGAGAAGGGGTGGAATCATCTGGGAGTTATCTGCGTTAAGCGCCCTAAATTAGAAATAAACTAACCTCTAAAGTTCGAGTTGTCCGAGAACCATTACAAATACTACAGTTAGCGGCAATAAGAGCAAGCGTGAGTAATTTGTTTGCGGGGAAAAAGATGTCTTCTGTGGATCATGGTTCAAATAAATAGAGCAATTGTCAAATACGATTCAATCCATCAACACAAATACAATGCAGGAAATAGCTGTCAAAATGAAAAAAATCGTCAACAACACTGCCTTCAAAAAAATAATATGTAATCGGAGACGTTTTGAGACATGGCCCATCTCCATAGCACCAATGAAGAGGGGACATTGTTTGAAACGTTGCCAGTTATCTATATTAGGCCATAGTTGTGTCGATGTGTGCGTTCAGTTTTGTTTATTGTGCTTGTACCCAACTCCCAACGTAGCAGAATCACCAAATAATTGAAAAAAATAAGGCAGTTAAGGCTTAATTCAATAATAAGCAATGTCAACGTCTTTGCCGTTCAATATTGAGCAATGCAATGTATATTCGTGTGTCGCATTAATACGTATTAAAAATGTGCATTCGTAATAGCCAAATAGTGACAGTGTACTGAAACATGAATGAGGTGGAAGGGATGCTAAAATAGCGATTTAAAGCTTTCGTGACTGCGGGGATTCATCTTCTTGGTTCTTTCGGTAAAGTCACGTAGAAGGGAAATAATAAAATAATAAAAATAAAACGTTATAAAATACAATAAAACGTAATATTGTATTTTATTACGTTTTCTTTTTATTATTTTATTATTTCCCTTCTACGTGACTTTACCGAAAGAACCAAGAAGATGGATGCTAAAATGTTAGCATATTAGCGCCATGTAATTATATGCGTGATGATGCATCGTCAAAGCACAGATACAGACTGCCCAAAGTTGTATGGTGGGATGACAAAGCAGATTAGCTATTCGTGATAATGCATCTAACGTACATTATTCATATCCACTACTGAATGAAGGCCTCGCCCATGCCCTGTTGGTCAATTCAGTTCGGGTTGGTGACGGGAGTGGGGTGGCCGGTCAGGATCTAACTCGCTACTAATGGGTTATCCGTGGTCAGGAATCAAGTTAATATCGTCAGGTTCAATTTCGATTTAGAGCTTTCGTGACTGCAGGGATTCATCTTCTTTGTTCTTTCGGTAAAGTCACGTAGAATGGAAATAATAAAATAATAAAAATAAAACATTAAATTATTCTCACGACGTTTCGGCCACAACGCAAGCAGCCGTCCTCAGGTGAAGAACAGGTCTGTCGAGAAGGCAGAGTCTGAATGACACGTCCTGGGCTTGGAGCGTCTATTTAAGCTGGGAGGGAGGAGGAAGAGCGCCTTGACAAAATAATTTGCATATCAAGAGGCAGAGGTTAGTGTAAATGCGATTGCTATTACCTTAGAGTCACGGCATCTCTTCAGAAAGGTGAGAGACTCGATTAGCTGAGCCTTCTTATCCCGGAGTTTGTTGAAAGATCTTAAAGTTTTGTGGAATCCCACCCCGTAGTGGCGGTTAAATTTCGATTTAAAGCTTTCGTCAGGTTCATTATGCACTGAGCTCATCACCGAGCAACCGATCCACTAACAATATTATCTATGGGACCTCCTTAAATTAAATTTGGATGTATGAAGCATTGAATTACTGTATAGCCCCCCATCTCAAGCCAATTGTACTGTTGAAAAATGTTGACATTCCGACTGATGCTCCTGCTGTTGTGGAGTGACTCATGCAGCCAGCTATGGCTGCAGAGTTTGGTAGTACATGTTGTTTCGGTCGTTTATTGTGACAATTCGGGCACAGTTCCTATGATCACTGTTTCATTGCTTTTATTGCTTTATTCTGGTGATTTTTGAAAGTTTTTTGGTTTGGCCATGTTTGTTTGTTGTAGTATAGAGTTAGACTGATGGCCTTAATCTAAATTGTCTTGTGGTTGTTGTTGTTGTTTGACTTGCATCCCACTGGGATTTTTTCACACAGTGTTGGTGTACGGTGTTCTTTCTGCAATATTTTGCTGTCTTTTCTTGGATTTTCTGTTTGCACATAGTCACTTTAAGATGTTTTCTTGTTCATGTTTTAGTTTTTTTGTTGTTGCGGCTACACCCGATTCAAGAGCCGAATGGCTCACAGGGCTATACCTAATACATGAAACTTGAAAACTTGAAACTGTATTCATGTCAGCTGTTTAGGAAAGTGCGTGTAGGGTTCAGGGTGCTGGACATCTACGACAAAGAACTTCTCAGCTCATCGGATTCCTCCAGTATAAAGTATTCTGATACAGTAGAACCCCTCTTAACGACGGTAATTGGTTCCACGAAACTGGTCGTTAAGCGAGTTTCGGAAATTCATGCTCAAGGCTTGCTTCGTTCCGATAGCATTGGAAGTTACCCCTTTTCTTCTCGATTTGAAGCTTTCGTGACTGCAAGGATTCATACTCTTAGTTTTTTCGGTAAAGTCACGTATGTAAAAAAATTGAAATTAAAATTAATAAAAAATAAATACAATAAAAACATAATAATAAACAATTATTATTTTATTTTTATTAATTTTCATTTAAATTTTTTACCTACGTGACTTTACCGAAAAACTAAGAGTATTACCCCTTTCCACCCAAAAAAGTAGTTTATAATATTTAAGACAATGGATATTAATACATAAATATACTGACAACATCAGAAACACATACTATTAAAAGAAGCATAGTTAATCAATGTATTAATGAATATTTACTGTACCTACAACATCTTGTCGTTAACAGGGGAATGGTGGGTAAGCGAACACATTGGGCTCTATGGAGGCCTGTTGTTAAGCGATTAGTCATGAACAGCGGTGGTTGTTAAGAGGAGTACGACTGTGCTGAGTTCATGACTCATGGATGAACTATATAACCCAACCCCGAAATAAAGATCGGTAAAATGTATGGCTTTACATTCTGAGAAATGTGGTTAATTATGAGTCATTTAATCGCATTGCTATTTCGTAAGGTCGTACGTTCAAACTTTGTTTATTTAACTACCGGTAACCACACAGAGGAATACACAATGCTATACTCTGTACAACAAAGCACGTACTGTAATTGTACAAGCCTGTGTTTTTGTGCCTTTCATCCTACACGGTTTATGCGCTGTTGTGATTATCGCATGAAGTTGGCTTTCAAATCAGATATACTGTAGTGGCTCCATTCAATCTCCCAAAAAGGACAGTTGCATGAAACAATGGGGCAAGCTTTTTAAATGTCCTTGCCTCTTTGTCAACCCAGCAGCAGTATAGCAGTACTCCACATTTCGTCCATTCCCAGGTTGTGTGTGGTGGGATAAAGTGTGGGTACGCCCACCTCTTCCAACACATTTGGCCAGCGTGGAAGAGTAGGCCAAATATTTGACCCTCTGGAGCAATGGTTCTCAACATTTTTTGGCAATTGTAGCCCTTGTTGAATTTTGTTTCAA